ACACATGGTACTCTATGTATGATAATGGTGCCACACATGGTACTCTATGTATGATAATGGTGCTACACATGGTACTCTATGTATGATAATGGTGCCACACATGGAACTCTATGTATGATAATGGTGCCACACATGGTACTCTATGTATGATAATACTGATTATATGTGTCCAATTCATGGTACTTCTGTTCATAATTATGTTTCATACCTGAAACAATACTTTACTTATGATGTATAAAACAGTCCAGTGCTGACACTTACATGCCTCATTGGATTGAAATTTGCTACAATCACATTCTCATTGATCATGAGCTGTCATTAAAACTATGAATTCCACTATTTTCTTGACAACATTTGAAAGAGGATGCAAACCAAACTCAAGCACTATTAATATCATTATTCACGATATTCAAATTTGTAAGTAAGAAATGGTTAAAATTATGTCAGTTTAGAAATAATAAGCCCAGTACTGATCAGAGTTAAAATATGTAAATACAATTATCTGTTTCATACTGTTACACCACCTTAACATAAAACAACCACACTATATGACACAGCAGCAATGAATCTAAGGCATAATATCATGGCCTGAATCGTTAAAATCTAACATAATTGGTTCCAGAGCTTCATTCTCTTTATACAATGTCTTTTTCTTGTCTGAGTCGGAGAGTTCTTCCAGGGTGTTGAACACAGGTGTTTTCTCCTGTAGAGTGTCGGGAAGGTTCACCAGACTTCTGCGTGTGGACCGCCTGACTGGTGTTAAAACTTTACACTGCGATCCTATGGAGCTATCACCTGTGGATCTTCTGCTCCTGTAAAAAAATAGTTTTTAAATGAAGAAATGAAAGATTTCTTGAGAAAATGCATTTCCCCCGATGACTGAAAGAGATCAACTGACAGAAGTGATATCATCATATTAAAGCATGTAACGATATACAATTTCAGGCATGTATTAAACAAGATATAATTTGTTTTAATGCATTAACAGAAACTTTGTATTAAATCATTTTCTGAAACTGTCAGGTGCACGAAAACATAAATGTTATCTATTTGAATCAATTCTTTTTTGACTGTAAAGTTTCGGCCAGTAACGGTGATTTGAAGAGAATTTTCAGCAAGAGTACCGCGGAACGGAACAATATAGTCGAATGCCATATAGTGTTATATACTTTCTTACATTGAAATACGATCTGCATCATTCAATGAGTGGTTAGCTGACATGCTATAAAAATGTAGGAGAAAATCTCCGGATGATAAAATCAAATACTGAAATGAACAAAGGGCAATAACTTTTGCAAAAATTGTTGAATCAAAATTCTTTTCAAGGAACCACAACAACATATCATGATTATTTGGCCTACTAAGTTTCAAAGAGATCCGTTGAAAATGTAGGAGGAGAATGCCGTACATAAATCAAATACTGAAATGAACAGAGGGCAATTTCTTTTGCAAAAATTGTCGAATCAAAATTCTTTTAAGGGGGACGACACAACTTCATATCATGATTATAATGTATACCAAGTTTCAAAGAGATCAGTCAAAAAATGTAGGAGGAGATTGCCGGACAAACAAAAGTTTACGCCGGACGGACAACGCCATACCATAACCCCGTCAATAAAAATTGGAAAAAATATGAGTATTTCACTCATGAGTTCATGATCAAGGTAAATAAAACACAGGTTGAAATTTCTACTTAGCCCCTGGAATCCTGGGTAATGCTATTTTATGGAGTGCAATCTTTCATCATCAGTGGCCGATAGCAAGACAATCTTTCCTCTATACACTGAACGACTCTTACACTTATACATTTGTAATTAAACTGAATGACACTGTTCACTTAAAACACATTAAAAAAATTGAAATTTCTCTAACTTTGATATATATTACAGACAGCTACAATACCCTGTGAGTGTATGGTCATACCTCTTTGAGAATGGGGTGACCTGACGTACACAATATTTTATTGAGGTTGATTCAAAGATGTTTTCCTCCTGAACGCGTTTCTTGATTCCCTTCTGATGAGCTTTCCGCTCTCTTTCCTCGCTGACCTCCTTCACAATTGCTGTCAGGGCTGTGGCCAGTTCCTGTGCTGGCTGTAAAAACATTAGCAAAGGGACAGGATGGACATGGGTAACACTAAAATGCAACCCCTAACCCAAAATGGAACTTAGGAAATGTCCATACTTGTTTTGAATACACTCAGTTTTTTGTAAAGATAACATATGAATATACATGTATACAAAGTTCACATCTGACTTTATTATTTGATTACCTCATAGCAGTTCCAAAAATATAGTGTTGAAAATATGCACTTTTATGACAGTCAAACAATCAAAAGTAATGCAAACTTGGATATATTCCCCAAAATTTAAATGTCTATGTCTACTCAATACCAATTCTCACTCTTCATTTAAAACACACAAAAACTTGAAATATTCAGCCTTTACCTGGGCGCCTTTGATGACAGCTTCCTCAAACACCTTGAGGACCTTGTCTAGATCTGCTGTAGACTGCAACACTTGGGCCTTGCAGATGTAGAAGATGGCCGACTTCCTGGCTAGGGGTAGGTTTTGTTCAATGGAATCCAGCCACTTCAGGATGTCTGTGTAGGGACAGCCCTGTCATTGATATATTGACAATAGGAGTTAATCAAATGTGTCATGATAATGATGATGGTTTCTAAACCTTACTTCACAACACATAATATATATACCTATCTAAATATTTCAACCTCTACTTTGACCTTCCTCAGTAGGACTCGCCAGGTATAAATACCTAAGGTGGACTTTCAGACATGTGACCTGATTGAGGGTTGGCCTGTGAAAATTTTAGGTACGTATATCATGTGTTGTGAACAAAAATTCAGAAACCATCTTCATTAACAATATACCAAGATTGTTGAGGGTAGTTTAAAACAGAAGATTTAAAGTCCAATCTTCGAAGATAATCAAATGAGTTAATTTCTGTTATACACATGTTCATATTATACATAATAAAATAACCGAAAAAAAAGTTATAATTTATTTGTGCTTGGCTGTTGAAATAATTTTCTGGTAGTGAAACGATTGTCCTCATCCGTTACTTCTATCTCGCAGTTGTCTCCCTTCCAATAGTATTTTTTTTTTATATAATTTGATAAATGTTCAAAAATCGATGTAGGGGAATATAGTATAAAGATTTTAAAGTCAATATTCTTATTGTTATTGAAAATAGGATATTTAAATAAGTTAGTATTTCTTACATACTATGAAGTGCTACAAAAGTTGTCTCCCTGGCATTTTCAATAACAGAGGTTAAGGTTACCACCAGATGTCCGTACTTCTGCTGGAAAGAAATAACTGACGTCACATCCGATAGGTTATCTCAATACAACAGACGTTATAAACGCCTCCATAAAAATGTAACCTGTTAAGGACTTGAACTCACTGCCTCAAAGAGGATGGTACACTCGTCTAGGATGGTACGTAGTTGTGAAAGGCCCGGATCCTCCTGTGTCGCACCCTCACCTGTCTCAACTTCCTCCTCCTCCTCATCAGCAACCCTGTCAAACATCCCTGTCAGATTCACAGCCACTGTGCTCTCTCTTTCCATTGTCTCTTGCTGGGAAAGAAATGATGATTTGTTTATCTAAAATTGATATGTATAGAAAGTATGCAAGTAGAGTAAAACTTTGATAAACTTAAAGCTGAATTTCTAAACAAAAAAACTGGTAACTACGTACTCAACCTAAATGTTGTGTCTACATTTAGAAAAAGCTCATTTGTGTTTGCTAGTTTTGGACAGGAAGATTTAATTAACTATTTGATTCATTCAATGTTATATGGAAACAGGAATGTTTTTCATGCTACATAGGTATACAGAGTTGTTTCCTTTCAGCATCAGCACCACCTGGCACTGACATGTCACCTCACCTACATTGGTATACAGAGTTGTTTCCTTTCAGCATCAGCACCACCTGGCACTGACATGTCACCTTACCTACATAGGTATACAGAGTTGTTTCCTATCAGCATCAGCACCACCTGGCACTGACATGTCACCTCATTGCCATGAAGCATCCACTAATAGCCTACTAACTTTGTAACAAAGTGGCATATTTAGAGTCCTTTTAGTTCATTCTTGTTGCTTTTTAACTATATATTGTATTGCTCAGGAAAGTTTCCTTATTTCTTGAATAGGGTTAAATGAGAAACTATACTCTATTTAATTAGCCAAAGACATGATTTATAAAAGTTACAGTTAATAAGGACTGCCTTCCTTTGCCAATAATCAAAACAATCACAAAGTATTTGACTGCGAGGTGATTGCCTCCCTTTACCCATATACCAATTACAATCAGTAAAAAAAAACACAGCGCTTCTTAATTACAGGTGGATTAACAAAAGAGGATGTAGCCTATTTTCCAAACTTCACCTTTGTTTTTCTATATTTCATCAAAATCCTGTCATACTTGATATATATCAATTTAGTCATTGTTTGGAAAACACCATTTAAACAGCACAGTATCCTAATTAAGGGCAGTAAGGGCAACCCCTCTCCTCCCGTCTTGTGGCAATATATCCCTATAACCATCAAGAAGCAATCTGCCCATATAGCTGAGCTTGACGTTTGACATTTTGACATTGGAGAATCGCAAGGAAGCAAAATATACATTTTACATATACTGTGATGTGAGTCTTATTTCCTTCCCCCTCCATATTTGCTGGGCTAACAGAAATGTAAATACCAGTGCAATACTAATTTTTTTAGCTTTGATTTGTTTTATTTCACCTTAAATACCTCCCCCATCAAGAGCCAGGGTCAAAGTTAGAGATCCACTTTGTCTTTGACCTTTGGACCCAAATGACCTTGACCTTTAACCCAGTGACCCGATCTTTGGTCAGTTGACTTATTTTTTAATTCCGACCAACTTTGCTTTATAATATCATAACAAAATGTTCATCAGTGAAAAATACAAAACTTGACCTTGAGAGCCCATCTCCTGGACCTTTGGTCAGTTGACTCCATGTTAAGTTCTCAACAACTTTGCTTGATAATACCATAACAAAAAATGTTCACCAGTGAAAAGACACAATATTTAACCTTCATCTTTGATCCAGACTTTAATGTTCAGTAGTAAAAAGAAACAAATTTTTACCTTAACCTTTGATCCAGTGACCTTGACCTTTGGTCGATTGACTCCTTGTTTAATTCTGAGCAACATTGCTTCAAAGTGTCATATGGAAATGTTCACCAGAGAAAATATACTAAATTTGAGCTTGACCTTTGACCCAGTGACCTTGACATTAATGTTCATCAGTGAAAAGATACATAATTTGACCTTGACCTTTGATCAATTGACTCCTTGTTTAATTCTAAGCAACATTGCTTCAAAGAGTCAATGAAATAATCACCAGTGAAAAGATACAAAATTTAACTTTGACCTTTGACCGAACGATCTTGACCTTTTCGCCAGTTGACTCCTTGTTTAATTCTGACCAACATTGCTTCATAGTGTCATAACAAAATGTTCACCAGTGAAAAGATATAAAATTTGACCTTGACCTTTGGTCAGTTGACTCTTTGTTTATAATTAATCCTGACCAACTTTGCTTCATAATGTCAAAAAGTGCTCATTAGTAAAAAGCTACAAATTTTGACCTTGACCTTTGTCCCAGTGACTTTGACCTCTGACCCGATGACCTTTGGTCAGTACTCCTTGTTTAATTCTTATCAACTTTGCTTTATCATGTCATAACAAAATGTTCATCAGTGAAAAGATGCAAAATTTGACCTTGGCCTTTAAACCTAATGACCTTGACTTTTTACCTCAATGTATCTCTTTGTTTAATTCCGACCAACTTTGCTTGATAATGTTATAAAATGCTCATTAGTGAAAAGCTAAAAAAATTGACCTTGACTTCCGGTCAGTTGACTCCTTGTTTAATTCTTATCACCTTTTTTCATCATGTCATAATTAACAAAATGTTCATCAGTGAAAAGATGCAAAATTTGACCTTGACCTTTTTACCTAATGACCTTGACTTTTTACCTCAGTGTGTCTCTTTGTTTAATTCCGACCAACTTTGCTTCATAATGTTATAAAATGTTCATTAGTGAAAAGCTGCAAAAATTGACTTTGGCCCTTGACCAGTGACCTTCTGTCAGTTGACTTCTTGTTTAATTCTCATCAACTTTGCTTCATCATGTCATCAGTGTTAAGATGCAAAATTTGACCTTGACCTTTGAATCTAATGACCTTGACCAAGTTTCATGTAAATTGGTCAATAAATACCAAAGTTATCAGCCAGGAACAAAATTTGTGGACGGACGGACAGATAGACAGAGTGATTACTATAGGGCACCTGTATCTCCGATACGGGGCCTAACAAGTTATTTTACATAAACCAGTGAACAAAAATACAAATGCCCCCTAAACCATAGCTCTTCTCATTAATATCAAATGCATTGACAGTAACACAGTGCAGAGGGGTAATACGATACCTGTTCTGTTAGCTCCTCAACAGTGATGCTTCTCTTTGTTTTTGGATCATTTTTCTTTCTGGCTGACATTTTGGCATCAAAACACATCAAATGCCTGAATTTGGATGGCGTTTTTCCTTTTGCATCAAGCCAATCATTTAATTTGTTTCTGAAAAGAAAAATCTTTGTTTTTCAGAAGTCATCACACATGTAAATATCAACATATATATATGGCTTAACCAACCTGATTTGAATTTTAAAAAGGGGAAATTTCACTTGCAATTTAAATTTCATTTCTCAAAGAAATACTTTTCAGTTTGGTGTGGCCTTAATATTTTGTGTTTCTCTGATAAGGAATCTGGTAAGAGGTAAAACTAAAGACAGCATTACCATTGTAACTGTTCATGACCTCTCAACACCACCTGGATGGATGGATGGATGGATGGATGGATGGACAGACAGATTGATTAACAAATATTATACTTCTGACCTCTTACAAATGAAACTTTTACTGAAACAAAACAGTCAGTGTGCTCCATGGACCTAAAAAATCATTAGCTAAAACTGAAGCGAATTGTGATTTCTAGTAGTAGTAGGCAATTTTCTTTAACAATGTCCATACTTTCTTGGCCTCCAACAGCCATAGATAGATGGGTGGTGTATTAAAATCATCCAATATATTTTATAGTAATTTTTAGATGCTTACTTTTCAACATGATGTTAAAGAAGTAATCTGCTAAATTAAATTAAAGTGATATTAATATTCCTACATATTCATTGTCTGAGCCCATTAGCTCATCTCTCATCTATAAATAGGCTGGATAAACCGGGTCATGACTGTCTGGTTGGCAGCACTCGCTCCAATCATCTCTCCTCCCTGCAACTTAAGTTTCCTCTGGTCTCAGGCTCCGCCATGGTCATGAAACTTCAAGTAGGTAACAGCCCTACTTTCTCCAGTAGGTAACAGCCCTACTTTCCCCAGTAGGTAACAGCCCTATTGACACAGTCATGACCATCTCCAGCCTAGTCTTACATGTATATTTCTTGGGGGTACTCGTGCATTTGTCGCCCCCCATTTGCCAAAAGATATTAGATGAAGTAGCATATTATCATTTCATAATAAAGCTGTCAAACCTCATACCATTGTTGTTGTTTTCTTTAAAATTATGATTGTAATTTACTTCAATCATATAATGTGATAATCTTTTGAAATATTTTCAGATAATTGGCTGTAACTAAGAACAATCTACTATTAAAATAAAAATGTTGAAAACTTGCAACAGAACTTTTACATTTTTTTTTTTCAAATTAAAAAGAGAAGATCAGACCTTGACCAACCCTTTAAATAAAACAGGAGCACATCACGTACGTCTCACTACTTGGACATTCTGTGTTACCTTGACCAACCCTTTAAATAAAACAGGAGCACATCACGTACGTCACACTACTTGGACATTCCGACCAACCCTTTAAATAAAACAGGAGCACATCATGTACGTCACACTACTTGGACATTCTGTGTTACCTTGACCAACCCTTTAAATAAAACAGGAGCACATCACGTACGTCACACTACTTGGACATTCCGACCAACCCTTTAAATAAAACAGGAGCACATCATGTACGTCACACTACTTGGACATTCTGTGTTACCTTGACCAACCCTTTAAATAAAACAGGAGCACATCACGTACGTCACACTACTTGGACATTCCGACCAACCCTTTAAATAAAACAGGAGCACATCATGTACGTCACACTACTTGGACATTCTGTGTTACCTTGACCAACCCTTTAAATAAAACAGGAGCACATCACGTACGTCACACTACTTGGACATTCCGACCAACCCTTTAAATAAAACAGGAGCACATCATGTACGTCACACTACTTGGACATTCTGTGTTACCTTGACCAACCCTTTAAATAAAACAGGAGCACATCACGTACGTCACACTACTTGGACATTCCGACCAACCCTTTAAATAAAACAGGAGCACATCATGTACGTCACACTACTTGGACATTCTGTGTTACCTTGACCAACCCTTTAAATAAAACAGGAGCACATCATGTACGTCACACTACTTGGACATTCTGTGTTACCTTGACCAACCCTTTAAATAAAACAGGAGCACATCATGTACGTCACACTACTTGGACATTCTGTGTTACCTTGACCAACCCTTTAAATAAAACAGGAGCACATCATGTACGTCACACTACTTGGACATTCTGTGTTACCTTGACCAACCCTTTAAATAAAACAGGAGCACATCATGTACGTCACACTACTTGGACATTCTGTGTTACCTTGACCAACCCTTAAAATAAAACGGGAGCACATCACGTACGTCGCACTACTTGGACATTCTGTGTAACCTTGACCAACCCTTTAAATAAAACAGGAGCACATCATGTACGTCACACTACTTTGACATTCTGTGTTACCTTGACCAACCCTTTAAATAAAACAGGAGCACATCATGTACGTCACACTACTTGGACATTCTGTGTTACCTTGACCAACCCTTTAAATAAAACAGGAGCACATCACGTACGTCGCACTACTTGAACATTCTGTGTTACCTTGACCAACCCTTTAAATAAAACAGGAGCACATCACGTACGTCGCACTACTTGAACATTCTGTGTTACCTTGAAAACAGTACCTGCATTGTATTTTTAGTTGCCAATTGAAAATAAAAACCAAACAATGTCTACTTTGGCTGCTGACAGCATGGGCCCTGACAGAACTGTATTATGAAGTTGAAGAAGCATTACCTCATTGACTCCTCTTTGCTTTGCTTGCTGGGAGTTTTCCTGACGGTAGTGTCAACTCTCTGTCCCCCAGGGGAGCAGAATCTCACCGTCCTGGCAGTATCTGGAGTCCTACAGGGGAGAGCCCTGACTGTGGTGTGGCCTGGTGTATCACTGGAGGGAGACAGGGTTGTTTGTCCATCATCACTTTTGGCTCTGTTACTGGTCTCTGTCTCTCCATTATCTCCAAAGCTCGCGATACAAGACTTCCTCTTGAGTATTCCTGGTCTTCTGAGAGGACTGACTCGTGCCTGGACCTAACATTTAAGCAAGGTGTATTTATATGAAATAAACATAATATTGACAAATTCTTGTCAAGTTAGTAATCAAACTAACTAGACAAGCCGTTCCGATTGATGTCTCACCTGTGCCCCACTTTGACCATCAATGCACATATCAGAGAAACCAAGTTAAATGCAAAAACTTGATGTTGATGGAGATAAATACTTCCGCTACTTGGTGGCGGCGAGACAAAAATGGTCTAGTAGATTTTATGTGATGAGTAGTGAAAATTTTGAATATTTACTTTGAAATATTGCTTTGCAGGTGAAATTTCGCAAAATCTGTGTGCAGGTTTTTACTAAAAATATGAAATTATAAACCCTTGCATACAATGTATTTAAAACTTAAAAGTACAGAATGCAAAACCAATGACCATCACACCCAATTAGAAAGCTTAAATGTTGCAATATAAAAGAACATGAACAAAATATATTTATTGGTTTCCAACTGAATATCATTTATATTTCTACTGTGCAGCAGATTAATCACACTGACTCAGGATTTTTTTTTTTAGAAAGTGTTCAGACATACTTGTGAAATATAGATTAGTATTAATCAATGTGAAATATAGATTAGTATTAATCAATGGGAAACTATTAAATGTTTTCTACATAGAATACAGACACTGTAGAAGTCAGAATACCTAAATGATATATATATATTACACTCAAGGGCTGTCACAACATCATCGGAAAATCTCATGTACATTGGTAATTATATTAATATATATCATAATACAGAAGAAAAAAAGTCATTGTACTGTATTATTTTTTTAAAAGCTTTATGTCTCTACCTTTTCTTTTAATTTGACAAATTGACTGCAAATTCTAACAGGTATGCCAATAACCATACACAAGCTATTTCTAGTGGGGACAATCAGGTACATTTCATACTTGATGTCTGGTTTCACAAAAAATCTTCATCATATATATGATTCATTTTGATAACATTCTGATAGTAATTTCTATTTAAATTGATCCGCTTATATATGATATGTACATTGTGTAAGGAACCTATATATGATATGTACATTGGGTAAGGAACCTATATATGATATGTACATTGGGTAAGGAACCTATATATGATATGTACATTGTATAAGGAGCCTATATATGATATGTACATTGTGTAAGGAGCCTATATATGATATGTACATTGTGTAAGGTACCTATATATGATATGTACATTGTGTAAGTAACGTATATATGATATGTACATTGTGTAATTAACCTATATATGATATCTACATTGTGTAAGTAACCTATATATGATATGTACATTGTGTAATTAACCTATATGATCTGTACATTGTGTAAGGAACGTATATATGATATGTACATTGTGTCAGGAACGTATATATGATATGTACATTGTGAAAGGAACGTATATATGATATGTATATTGTGTAAGAAACCTATATATGATATGTACATTGTTTAAGGAACCTATATATGATATGTACATTGTGAAAGGAACCTATATATGATATGTACATTGTGAAAGGAACCTATATATGATATGTACATTGTGTAGGGAACCTATATATGATATGTACATTGTGTAGGTAACCTATATATGATATGTACATTGTGTAATGAACGTATATATGATATGTATATTGTGTAAGGAACGTATATATGATATGTATTGTGTAAGGAACGTATATATGATATGTATTGTGTAAGGAACGTATATATGATATGTATTGTGTAAGGAACGTATATATGATATGTACATTGTGAAAGGAACCTATATATGATATGTACATTGTGTAGGGAACCTATATATGATATGTACATTGTGTAGGGAACCTATATATGATATGTACATTGTGTAATGAACGTATATATGATATGTATATTGTGTAAGGAACGTATATATGATATGTAGATTGGGTAAGGAACCTATATATGATATGTACATTGTGTAGGGAACCTATATATGATATGTACATTGTGTAGGGAACCTATATATGATATGTACATTGTGTAGGGAACCTATATATGATATGTACATTGTGTAGGGAACCTATATATGATATGTACATTGTGTAAGAAACCTATATATGATATGTACATTGTGTAAGAAACCTATATATGATATGTACATTGTGTAAGGTACCTATATATGATATGTACATTGTGTAAGAAACCTATATATGATATGTACATTGTGTAAGGAGCCTATATATGATATGTACATTGTGTCAGGAACGTATATATGATATGTAGATTGTGTAAGGAACCTATATATGATATGTTCATTGTGTAAGGAACGTATATATGATATGTAGATTGGGTAAGGAACCTATATATGATATGTACATTGTGGAAGGAACCTATATATGATATGTACATTGTGTAGGTAACCTATATATGATATGTACATTGTGTAAGAAACCTATATATGATATGTACATTGTGTAATTAACCTATATATGACATGTACATTGTGTAAGGAACCTATATATGATAAGTACATTGTGTAAGGAACGTATATATGATATGTACATTGTGTAAAGAACCTATATGATATGTACATTGTGTAAGGAACGTACATATGATATGTACATTGTGTAAGGAACGTATATATGATATGTATATTGTGTAAGAAACCTATATATGATATGTACATTGTGTAAGGAACCTATATATGATATGTACATTGTGAAAGGAAACCTATCACAATATATACAACTTATGGTGAAACACCCCAGCTTATATTCTACCTCAGAGTGGCGTCTCTTCACCTCTGCTTTCTCAGATATCGGACCTCTGGTCTTTGTTTGGTGTTTATTGCCTGCACCCTGTGATCTTGACCTGATCACACCACGTTCTGCACCCTGTGATCTTGACCTGATCACACCACGTTCTGCTCCTCCTGTTACAAAGCCCTTGCCAGACACACTGGTCTCGGAGTTGGATGTGATGTTGGACATCGCACCATCCCTTGATTTAGCCGATGAACCCCGAGACAGCCTTTCCCACTTACTGACTGACCCTTTATTACTGGGAGTCCTATGTGTGGTCTTACTGACTGTCTTTTGTGTCCCAGTCAGTTTGGGTGCTGTGTCAGACCTTTTAGGATGAGACTGCTCAAGTGGGCATGGTCCACCTGGTTTAAGGTACTTTTTACTTGAACTTGACAAACCTTGACAGCTTTTCCTGAAAAGCAGACATACACATGTAAATTTGTTTAATGTCCTGTTATTTTGTTAGGAGCTCTGGTTTCATAATAAAGGCTCTTCCAGAACAACTATACTGGAGGGATGGAAGGCACCATTTCAGAGACCCATCAAATGTGATTTAATACCAGGAATGGTAGGCAGATCTTTAACCCACCGCCCATAACATAACAATCCAGGTGCCTCCAACCTTCCTCATACGATAATAAAACAAAGTTAGCGGAGGCTAACATAGAAATTTCTCCCCAACTAGTACTTCACTCAACTCTTTTTGCCCATGTCCTTTCACCTTACCTGTTGACCACTAAAATGTAATCAGGACAGGTGTAGAACTCAATGTTACCATACTATGGTGTAATGTAAATACAATCTATAGATCTTGTACACAAGCTTTCACTTTAAAAGTGTAAAGTGTAATATTTGGCCATGACCTTTGACCCTTTAAAGGAGCTGTTAGGCCAAGATTTTTATTACTTTTTTTGTAAAAATCAGCAAAACCTGTAATAAAGTTAAATAAATACTGAATCGTCCATCAACAATCATTTATATATATATGTCCCGCTACCTAGATATGGAAAGAAATTTAATGAGCTTACTGGTCATGTGGTACTTGTTATGTCATATAGTAGATTTGGGTCACTGGTCCATATAACAGTAGCTAGTATTCAGGAGCTACACCTCCTTCATTTCTGGTTTGTTTCAATGGACAAGCTAAGTCTGACATTGTGATTCTTGGTACGAACTACATACTTAATACAATTATCTACCAATTTCAGCCAAAGACAGGACATGTACAAACACTGTTGGCGTAAAAAAAATTGACACCAGAGGACAATTATGAATAAGATATGGCAGGGACTGTCCGACATACATTTAAGATGCATATAGAACAGTGGCTACACAGAATGTAATCTCCAGATATTGCTGGATTCAAAACAATAAATAGGCATGACATAAGAGCCAGGCTAATGATGTTTCAACTTTTAACAGTCAAATACATATAATTGCAATGTAATCTACTGTTAAGTTCTGCAAATCGATTGTATTCCTACAAGTAGATTATAATCAATACTCATAACGTTACATGTCCAGTCTTTGTCCACACATCAACGCCTTAAAGTGAACAACTTTTGCTTCAGAGTTTGATGTAGTATAATAATACTACATCATATATAATAGCGTAGTCATGGAACGCATCTACTTTAATTCAATTTGGTTTTGTCATATTTGTGAATTTAGATGACGTGAAAAGTAAAAACAACGAACATTATAGTTTATTTGATACCTCATAATTATATATATAAGGTCCAGCAAATGTGTATATGTACATAAACAACCAATTTGTGTCTAGTGTCGATCGATCTGTCACTGTCATGAACAAATAATTCCAACCCTGAAGATATATATTTTGTTAAAAAGTACCAAACAAGTGTTTTCATGTTGATATTTCAGACAATTCAGTAAATATCATATCAGCACAATGGCACAACCACATCAGTGGTCAGTAGACACTGTCATCATATGACAACCACACCAGTGGTCAGTAGACACTGTCATCATATGACAACCACATTAGTGGTCAGTAAACACTGTCATCATATGACAACCACATCAGTGGTCAGTAGACACTGTCATCATATGACAACCACATCAGTGGTCAGTAGACACGTCATCATATGACAACCACATCAAGGGTCAGTAGACACGGTCATCATATGACAACCACATCAGTGGTCAGTAGACACTGTCATCATATGACAACCACATCAAGGTTCAGTAGACACGGTCATCATATGACAACCACATCAGTGGTCAGTAGACACCGTCATCATACGTCTTTTAACTGTTGTAAAGATCCAAAACCATAAAAGATAGTATATACAGTGAAGGTCTAAATCAAATGAAAAAAATGTGCTTCAGGTTTCCTCTTTTCACTAAACCTACGATTACCCATTATCGTTGCTCTCCTCACAAATTACCTGTTATCTTTGCTTTCCTCACAAATTACCTGTAATCTTTGCTCTCCGCACAAATTACCTGTTATCTTTGCTCTCCTTACAAATTACCTGTTATCTTTGCTCTCCTCACAAATTACCTGTTGTCTTTGCTCTCCTCCCAAATAACCTGTTATCTTTGCTCTCCTCGCAAATTACCTGTTATCTTTGCTCTCCTCTCCTCACAAATTACCTGTTATCTTTGCTTCTCTCTCCTCCCAATTAACCTGTTATCTTGGCTCTCCTCACAAATTACCTGTTATCTTTGCTCTCCTCTCCTCACAAATAACCTGTTATCTTGGCTCTCCTCACAAATTACCTGTTATCTTTGCTCTTCTCACAAATTACCTGTTATCTTTGCTCTCCCCTCCTCCCAAATAACCTGTTATCTTTGCTCCCGTCACAAGTTACCTGTTATCTTTGCTCTCCTCACAAATTACCTGTTATCTTTGCTCTCCTCATAAATTACCTGTTATCTTGGCTCTCCTCACAAATTACCTGTTATCTTTGCTCTCCCCTCCTCCCAAATAACCTGTTATCTTTGCTCCCGTCACAAGTTACCTGTTATCTTTGCTCTCCTCACAAATTACCTGTTGTCTTTGCTCTCCTCCCAAATAACCTGTTATCTTTGCTCTCCTCGCAAATTACCTGTTATCTTTGCTCTCCTCTCCTCACAAATAACCTGTTATCTTGGCTCTCCTCACAAATTACCTGTTATCTTTGCTCTCCCCTCCTCCCAAATAACCTGTTATCTTTGCTCCCGTCACAAGTTACCTGTTATCTTTGCTCTCCTCACAAATTACCTTTTATCTTTGCTCTCCTCACAAATTACCCGTTATCTTTGCCCTCCTCACAAATTACCCGTTATCTTTGCTCTCCTCCCAAATTACCCGTTATCTTTGCTCTCCTCACAAATTACCCATTATCTTTGCTCTCCTCACAAATTACCTGTTATCTTTGCTCTCCTCATAAATTACCTGTTATCTTGGCTCTCCTCACAAATTACCTGTTATCTTTGCTCTCCTCTCCTCACAAGTTACCTGTTATCTTTGCTTCTTTCTCCTCCCAATTAACCTGTTATCTTGGCTCTCCTCACAAATTACCTGTTATCTTTGCTCTCCCCTCCTCCCAAATAACCTGTTATCTTTGCTCCCGTCACAAGTTACCTGTTATCTTTGCTCTCCTCACAAATTACCTGTTATCTTTGCTCTCCTCACAAATTACCTGTTGTCTTTGCTCTCCTCCCAAATAACCTGTTATCTTTGCTCTCCTCGCAAATTACCTGTTATCTTTGCTCTCCTCTCCTCACAAATTACCTGTTATCTTTGCTTCTCTCTACTCCCAATTAACCTGTTATCTTGGCTCTCCTCACAAATTCCCCGTTATCTTTGCTCTCCTCACAAATTACCTGTTGTCTTTGCTCTCCTCCCAAATAACCTGTTATCTTTGCTCTCCTCGCAAATTACCTGTTATCTTTGCTCTCCTCTCCTCACAAATTCCCTGTTATCTTTGCTTCTCTCTCCTCCCAATTAACCTGTTATCTTGGCTCTCCTTACAAATTACCCGTTATCTTTGCTCTCCTCACAAATTACCCATTATCTTTGCTCTCCTCACAAATTACCTGTTATCTTTGCTCTCCTCATAAATTACCTGTTATCTTGGCTCTCCTCACAAATTACCCGTTATCTTTGCTCTCCTCCCAAATTTGCCGTTATCTTTGCTCTCCTCACAAATTACCCGTTATCTTTGCTCTTCTCACAAGTTACCTTNATCTTTGCTCCCGTCACAAGTTACCTGTTATCTTTGCTCTCCTCACAAATTACCCGTTATCTTTGCTCTCCTCACAAATTACCCGTTATCTTTGCTCTCCTTGCAAATTACCCATTATCTTTGCTCTCCTCACAAATTACCTGTTATCTTTGCTCTCCTCACAAATTACCCGTTATCTTTGCTCTCCTCCCAAATTACCCGTTATCTTTGCTCTCCTTGCAAATTACCCGTTATCTTTGCTCTCCTTGCAAATTATCCATTATCTTTGCTCTCCTCACAAATTACCCGTTTTCTTTGCTCTCCTCACAAATTACCCGTTATCGTTGCTCTCCTTGCAAATTACCCATTATCTTTGCCCTCCTCACAAATTACCTGTTATCTTTGCTCTCCTCATAAATTGCCTGTTATCTTGGGTCTCCTCACAAATTACCCGTTATCTTTGCTCACCTTGCAAATTACCCATTATCTTTGCTCTCCTCATAAATTACCTGTTTTCTTGGATCTCCTCACAAATTACCCGTTATCTTTGCTCTCCTCCCAAATTACCCGTTATCTTTGCTCTCCTTGCAAATTATCCATTATCTTTGCTCTCCTCACAAATTACCCGTTATCTTTGCTCTCCTTGCAAATTACCCGTTATCTTTGCTCTCCTTGCAAATTACCCGTTATCTTTGCTCTCCTTGCAAATTACCCGTTATCTTTGCTCTCCTTGCAAATTACCCATTATCCTTGCTCTCCTCACAAATTACCTGTTATCTTTGCTTCTCTCTCCTCCCAATTAACCTGTTATCTTGGCTCTCCTCACAAATTACCCGTTATCTTTGCTCTCCTCCCAAATTACCCGTTATCTTTGCTCTCCTTGCAAATTACCCATTATCTCTGCTCTCCTCACAAATTACCTGTTATCTTTGCTCTCCTTGCAAATTACCCATTATCTTTGCCCTCCTCACAAATTACCTGTTATCTTTGCTCTCCTCATAAATTGCCTGTTATCTTGGGTCTCCTCACAAATTACCCGTTATCTTTGCTCTCCGTGCAAATTACCCATTATCTTTGCTCTCCTCATAAATTACCTGTTTTCTTGGATCTCCTCACAAATTACCCGTTATCTTTGCTCTCCCTGCAAATTACCCATTATCTTTGCTCTCCTCATAAATTACCTGTTATCTTGTCTCTCCTCACAAATTACCCTTTATCTTTGCTCTCCTCACACATTACCCGTTATCTTTGCTCTTCTCACAAGTTACCTGTTATCTTTGCTCTCCTCACAAATTACCCGTTTTCTTTGCTCTCCTCACAAATTACCCGTTATCTTTGCTCTCCTCACAAATTACCTGCTCACCTCACAAATTACCTGTTATAATTGCTCTTCTCTAAGGCTCTCTGTTCCTTTTCTTCCTTCCATCTCTGGAGTCTTTCTCTACAAAAAGCAGGATTTTTGTCGTAGAAGAGTCGGTGAAAGAAAAAGAAAAGAAGAATAACTGCTGTACTCAAAATCTTCTCTGTTTCTCATAGGACAAATATGTTAGCCCTTAAAATATATATGATTTACCATTTGAAACAAGTAGTAAGGAAAAAATTCTGCTCGTAAAAAAAATATGGTTGAAATTATGTTAATTACATGTAAATCTGATAATTTACTGTCAACATACAAATTTTAGCAGTATTTCATTTGGCACTTTTCATACTTTAATTATCTGGCTTATTTATCACGGCGCTTATTGAAGTTTTTGTATAGAGTACTGTTAAGTGTGCCAATCATCAATGTAGGCAAGGCATACATGTATACAACTAATGTTGGTAGATTCACTTCAGAATTTAATCTCAATTTATGATTGATTATCACTATTTCTCAAATGATTGATGAATGATCATTGATCATGATCAGTCTTGAAATGAAAATAGAGAAACATTCCCTAGAATGGGCAAAGTGTGGTGGATACTTTATAATGATCTAGCTATAAGGCAGACATGTTGTAGTTTATGATAAAACTTATGAGAAAATTGTTCGTTAAATCAGTGTTCATGTCTGTTCCCAATCTTAATAATTCTACAAAGTTTTCATGCCAGAGTAAAACTATGATAAATCATAGAAATCATTATCAATTAGTAATACGTGTAGTCATGGGTAAAGCAACTTATCATTGATTAAATCCATTAATTGGAGCAACACATTGAACACAACATACAACATTGGAGTGGGTTCCCGTTCTGTGCCACCCTTGTCGGCAGCAGACATAGGCTTCGGTGTAGCTGTTTGAGAGACAGCAGGTTTCTTGACCATATTGGTTGTGCTACGGTGGGGCTTTGACTTGTCTGTACTAGGGATAACAGAAGCTCTATTTTCCTTTGTCTTCTTAAATGGCACTTTGGTAGTTGTAACTGGGCATGATTTTCTTTTCTGTCCACTGGAAGGAAAATACATTTTGTGTAAAATAATAAGATCTGTCCCTTGTTAAATATTATGTAGATTAACAAAGAAACCTTTGTTGAAATTCAATAAATGTTATCTTCCAAGGAAGTTGGGTTGTTGAAAAATTAGTGCTGACATTATTTTTTATTTCAATTGTTTTAATGATTTATGTTTTACCCTCAATGATAATTCATGTGTTTAGAATAATGCATCATCATGATAATAGCAAATAGTTATAATAGATATAATACATTAAGTTACATGTACCTTACAACAATAATGAAACAAGTGTAAACCTATCTTTATCTTGTTGGTCCAGATGTTAGCATGCAGGGGTCTTAATACCTTTTCACCTCTGACCAGGGAATCAAGGCCTTGGTGAGGCGAGTGTGTTAGCGGGGCTATGCACTGTGCCACCCGACCACCCAGTTATAAATAATAAAGATGCTGAACAGACAAGCACAACATAATATTTTTTGTTTTGTCTTGTTTTTATATTGAACTATTTTCATTTCATTGGGCATTATACTGAATCAGATTCTTCTTTGAACATGTAGAGCTAGCTGTACAAGCTGGTAAATACAGGTCAAACATAAATGTACATTATTGGAGTATCAATCGATGAATTATAGAGTTGTAACAGAAGAAATACAACAGCCAGACCTAGACTCAAGCTCTGGACCCTCCGAACTCTTGATGGACGCTCTACCATATTTCAGCAACCTGAAGGTTCGGGTTTCCCCTTGCCAAGAATTCACACAGGGCTTGAAATAAGAGCTGGCAAGAACGCCAATTTTGTAATAGGAAAATTTGAAAGAGAAATATGCAACAGCCAGACCCTGCAGGACTCAAACCCTGGGACCCTCGAAACTGTAAGACAGATGTTCTGCTAATTGAGCTATTTTGTTGCCACTAATACTATAGAAGGTTAGACAAAAACAATGTGCTTCAGGTACTCTAACGTCCCATTTGAACGTGTCAGAAATTGTGACCTTTATGACACCTTTCTATTTCATTGGCAGGTATATATATATTAACAAGGAATATGTATTGAGTTATCTTTTTTATGCATTTCGTGAATTAAGTCATCATATTTTTATCAAAATAAAGGGCCATTGGTGGCTGTACAAAAAAACATGGTTACCCAGTTTTGGTTCGGATAAGTACACACAATTATCCGACTGGCATTATTTCTAACAGTTGAATTGCTGCATGCCCTAATCAAAACCAAATCTAAATCCCAAAAGTTTCATAAAAAATTAATGCAATTGGTCTGAATAATCATGTGTGTTGATTTTTGTAAAATATTAAATATGCAACCCCTCAAAAAAAATCCTTATACCTACTGTATTTTTCAGTCATATAACCTGAAACATATTCATTTTTTTGCAGAAACATTGTGTAACTTGTAAGTGGTGTGCATAATTACCCATTCTTCGATGTAGGCCTATTTCCTCTTTCCTGGAGTGGTTCCGTCTGCTTTGCTTGCTTGTATTTTATAAACTTTTCAATGTAGCCACCTGGAAGATATTATAGACCTCTTTATACATTAGACTGTGTATTACTGTAAAACATAATTACTAATGTACAGTTGAAATGAGTCCCTTGATTAAAGATGTATTGCTCTATTATAACCACTGGCGCGTTGACCGCTTTATTTATAAAGANGGGGGGGGGGGGGGGGGGGGGGGGGGGGGGGGGGGTCGGGTCTCCTGATTTTTTAGTAGAGGCTTCCCTTCAAATTCCATTTCTTTTTAAATAAATAATCGATCTAAATCTTCTTCTGTGTGCTAATATATTCCTGAGGAACACATACTTAAAACACAGTTCTGGTTGCAATTGAACTTAGCATGATGAGAGCTTCATGGCTTGTTCTGAAGTTGGCGAAGCTACCTAGTGGAGTGGGCGGGGTTCATCAAACACGGAGAGCTAATTCAGATATTGAACTGTTGATATGTTGACGTAACCTACCCTTATATTCACTAAAAGTGAACATATATAGTTGCATCAACATACGTTTCAAACAAGAAATTAGATCTTAATTATAAAAACTGCATACCAGCCATACTTCATACACCGATACAGCTGACCATACTTTCAAAACAAATAATAATACGCTAGCATTACGATATACGACACTGGCAATACTCAAGAAATCGATATAAATGAACCATCGCATCTTCTAGTTATGTGTCTTATTGAATCAAACATTGCTTACTCTTTAACCCCGGAGTTTGTTTACCACGATTTCCAATGTGAGCATCAGCCATGTTGCTCTCTTTCCGTTGATTTCCAAATTGGCGCTGTTTGATAAATTCTTAACGCTGATTGGCTGAACATTATTACTAAAGGGAATTAACTCTTGTTTTACATCGACTATTTAGAGCAATATATATATTCTCATGTTTCTATAAAAAAAACACACAGCATACTCTCAATTTGAGTGAATATGCAGAAACAAATAACAATTTATGATAGAATATATTCTAAATAAAGAAAAAGGCTGTATTTTATTATATTACAATAATTTTCTTTATTTAGAATATATATTTCATTGTGGTCTTTTTAACTGTATAAAGTAGCCAGGGACGTATTAATTAGGCTCAATAAATATCTTGTCTGTAACAATCAAAAATTGATGCAGAATACATAACGTTGTACTGAATAGAAGGTATAACGCAATTATTTTGAAAATTAGAGTTCCAGTTGTTCTATAATCATCTAAATAAAATACACATTTGCCCTATTTTTTTCAACTTCACCCCTGGAATATGCCATAGCGAAATCGAAGGCTCAGTGTGTCCAACATGGTGGATGAGACAAGAAGACCAGTTCGTTCCTTTGATATGTACATCAATTTAAGAATATCGCGGTCGCGTAGCGGTAAAAATTGACTGGCTTTGAAGTCGGGTGTCGCCCCTCTGTGATCTTCAAAGGAAAGGTATCAGCCTGGCGATTGGTCAGGGTATTTTTTTTCTCACCCGAGACTATTTCTCCGTGCAATAAATATTCTAGTTACATAACCCATGGAGTATCGAGGATGCAACACAGTATCAGTAATATAATGAGTCTGAATTCACTCATAACACATTCAAGATTGTCGCTTTGAATTCACACAATACATCGAAAGCAAGGATTATAATTAGCATAATATTAAATCTTATCAGATGTCTCTGTTCACAGTTGCCTTTGGGAAAAAACAAGTTTAATTAGAGTATGCACGCACTGAGTTGGTACTGCTGGGAGATAAAGCGCACTGAGTACGATATCAATAGGTCTTTTAAATCAGAATAAATGCCTGTACTTGTATTCCAAAGAAGCTAGATGAACAAAGCGAGCATTTACCTTCTCTCCTCGTCTGGAAAGACATATTTGTTGGTTAGAAGTTCACGGACAGCTGCCGCTAAAACGTCTATATGGTTGTCAAGGCCATTAAAAACGTCTATATGGTTGTCAAGGCCATTAAAAACGCCACGAAACCCTGTCTCTTGACAATTTCTCGACATGAATTTTCAGAAAGAGTATCGATATATATTATCATGAAACTACCATATTAATATGTAGGCAATTAGTTCTATATAGGTAATTTTAGGAACGCAAGGTCGGAAAAAATGGACGGAAGAGGAAATATTTTGTCGTCAAAAGAGGCTTTTTATATTTTTACATATATAAAATTTGGCATGATTAATTTAGTGTTATTGTCCTGTTCTTTTGCAGCACACATTTCCATTGATTGGAAGAAAACTAAACAATATTAAGCTTTAAAATTTTAATGTTAGAACAGAGGCTTTCTAGTTACTAGTTAATCACTTTTATCATAAGGTGTTTCTTAGCATCATCTGAATCCAAACAATCTTCAGTTTTTGAGCAATATTGCTAAACTTATATATACTGACAAAAACCAACATGGTTTGTACTTCTTTCGTAGAGCAAACACATTTTTGCAAATAACTAAAAGTCAGTTGGGTTCACCAAAGAATTAATACAGTTTACGCATACATTTCTCTGTTGTGATGTTTGAACATGGGACTTTCTAATCGATTTCAGACGATATTTTTAAAAATAAATGAAAATTTTGTTAATAAATCAAAAATATATAAATAATTAAACTATTTGCTTTTACTTGACACAATAGTTAATCCAGTAATTGTCAAAAGTAATTACTTTGTTTGCGAACAGAAATATGATTGCAGAAATTGTGCTATTAACTTTTTGTGAGGAGTTGATATTTAGCTCACTTGTATAGAATGCTAAATTTGGCATAAAAGTATTATGTATAAGCAATGCTACATTTTTAAAAGGAACCCTTTATTAGTCCCCCTCCGGTTCCCGGGGGAGGGGGTGGGGGTGGGGGGCTACAGGTTTGTACTACGTCCGTCCCTCCGTCCGTCTTTTCGTCCGAGAAGTTGGCCATATCTTCTATACTATTTCTCATGGAGTAACCAGATTTGGTGTACAAGGGCATCTTGGGATGACGAAGTTCAGAGTGCAAGAATCAGGTCATTGTCACAGTGACCTAATTCTTGCACTCTATGACTTGAGCTTTGACTTTAACTTTTGTAAATGTTTGTCCAGGGCATATCCTTTATCCCCGTACCACTGCCAAAACTGTAACTTTAAGGATCCCCGTACCACTGCCAAAACCTGTAACCTTCAGGATGCCCGTACCACTGCCAAAACCTGTAACTTTAAGGATCCCCGTACCACTGCCAAAACTGTAACTTTAAGGATCCCCGTACCACTGCCAAAACCTGTAACTTTAACGATCCTCGTACCACTGCCAAAACCTGTAACTTTAAGGATCCTCGTACCACTCCCAAAACCTGTAACTTTAAGGATCCTCGTCCCACTGCCAAAACCTGTAACTTTAAGGATCCCCGTCCCACTGCCAAAACTGTAACTTTAAGGATCCCCGTACCACTGCCAAAACCTGTAGGTAAGAATTGGACACTTTTTTCTGGCTTGACTATAGCTTTGATAAATCATTTCTGGAAAGGACACCAAACCTTGCGGTACATTTTGCAGAAACGATCAAGATGAAAGAAACATCACTGCGGGATTAGACAATGATTCAAGCACTGGGCCTGTATTCATGCAACCGTTTTCATGCTCAAGCATAGATTTTGTGCTCAAGTCTATTTTCTTATTCCATTAATAAATCAATAATAAAACCTTATTTTGTCAATGATCTGGGGAAAAAAAATTAAGAGACTTAATGCCAAATACGGTTTTCAATGTTTACATTTGACTTTTTGACTGTTGACATGATTTAAGTGAGTTACAAAAAAGTTGGGTTGAGCACAAAATCCATGCTTGAGTATGAGAACAGTTTCATGAATACAAGCCACGGACTTCAGACTGTTGAACTATTGCTCTAACCGATTAAACTACCTGGCGTCAGATCACAATTTATTTCCCTGATTGAACTACCTGGCGTCAGACCACAATTTATTTCCCCGATTGAACTACCTGGCGTCAAAACACGATTTATTTCTCTATGTGTTCTTACCAAAGAAAACCAAGATCATTCAATAGAGCAAACTTTATGGCCCTCATCCTTGCATACAACTTGAATATCACCATCCTAGACCTTTAATTATTTATTGAGATGAGGTTATTTAAAGATTTATACACATTTGACCATGTGACCATGAAAGTGAACCAAGGTCAACCACATGAACATAATTGATAGCTCCTTATCTAAGCATGCTACGATTCAAATATCATCACCATATGCATTTGGTTATCAAGAAGAAATTGTTTTAATATTTTCTACACATTTGACTCCTGTGGCATTGAGTATGGGTAAAGGTTTTCATTTGTCAAATATTGTAGCTCTTATCTGAGCCTGTAACTGGCAACATATCATCATCCTGGACTTTTTTAAATTCAGACTAAGTCATTTTAATGCTTTCAATACATTTTTGAATTTTAACACATTCAACACATGCTTTTAACATATTTGATTCCAGTGACCTTGAATATGGGTGAAGGTCATTCATTTGAACAAACTTGATAGCTCTTCAACTAAGCATGTTACTGACCAAATATCACCACCCTTTTGGTTATTCAGGGGAAGTTGTTTAAAAATTTAAACATATTTGACCTCTGTAACCTTTATTATAGGTGAAGGTCATTCATTTCAGCAAACATGATGGGCTTCTACAAACTATGTTACTAGACAAATATCATAACCCTAGGCTTTTTGTTTTTTTCAAAAGAACTTGCTTTAAAGTTTTAAACATATGTCACTCCTGTGATCTTGAATATGAGTAAAGGTTATTCATTCTAACAAACTTGGTAGCCCTTCATCCCAACATGGTACTGGCTACATATTTTCATATTCTCATTAAGTTCAAAGGTTCAAAGGTAACAAATAACTGTTATTCCAGTCCTGATTACCTTTATACTGGCTAGCAAATTTTTTTTTCTTTCATAATACTCTTGACCTTAAAATGCTTGGTTTCCTTTTTACAAACCTCTGTTTGATGTTGGAAGAATCATCTTCCTGCAGTCACTGATATTTTAGGGAATTAAAATCAATGCAGTAAGAGAGGCAAGTCCATTGTTTAGTTTAATACAAATCCGCTGTGATTCCTATGCTGTTTTAACACAGCGAAATACTGTGAAAATTTAACGATATTTACAGGCAGCAAGATGTTACGGCATGGACATTGTGTTTGACCTCAATGTGACCTTGACCATAGGTAAACAGACCAAATAGTTGAGCAGGACATTCTGCATGCATTCCTTAACATTTCATTCAAGTCTCTGATTCATTACCAGTACTTATGCCTTAAGGTGGCTCCACCCTTTCGAAATTAGCCAGCAGCATTCAATGAAAGTTTCACATAATGGTTATGTCAATATATTGGGATGATTTTATGAAAATCTAAGCATTCCGATAAACTGGGGATACTTTTGTAAAAAATACCGAAAAATTGATTTTTTGTCAAATTCAACACTTTCACATTTTTTGAGTGTGTGGCATTGTTCAAAACTATTACAACAATAAAATAATGAAAAGAAACATTGCTAATCAATACTACAAATATTTTATTTATCATAAAATATCTACAACATGTTACAAAAAGCGTTTTTTATTGAAATTGTATGAATAAAAGTTACTAAATACAAGCTAAAAGCAAACAGGACACATGGTTTCATACAAAAATAGTGAAAAATTGAACCAAATACACTCAAAGTCCTAATAATTAATTTATTTTACATTTTACAATCATTATTGATTCTGATGAAAGTTGTCTACCTTGAAAAGAACGGAACTTTTAGCAGA